ATGAGCAGAGCAACACTGCAAGTGTCACCAGGGTCAGTCGGTACATCTCTGAAAGATATTCTGACAGAAGATATAAAGATGTTAGAGCTTTTCATAAAAAAAGACTACTGGTTAAAGTTTCCTCCAGCTAAAGGAAACAGTTAGCTATCCTTTACCCTTGTGTTTCTGGAAGTTAGTGATGGTCCAATCAGTTTTGTCAGTTATACGTTAACAGCTTTTATCAGCCGTGGTGTCATCCATAAAGACTGGAGAAAAGTGCAAAAGTCTTCCTCCAGGCTAGATCAATATACCATTTCATAGTTAAAAATTGTTACAAACACACAAATTTTGCCAAGCTATCAGCTTATTTTTTTTTTTTTTTGGACAATGCTGAGGTTGTTATAGAAATGCCATTGGAACTGAACAAATTCAACCAGTAAAATTGCATAATTATACAGACCCCATTATTTTGCTCTGAGCTGATGATCCCTGTTAAACTTTCCTTTAGGATCATAGATTAAGTTTTTCATAAATCTGCTTTATGAGTTTGTTGAATTTGCACAATTCCAATAGCATTTCTTTATCAACATCTGAGTTTTCTTGGTTTACCTGTGACCTGAAAAAGTTAGGCTCCACTAGTGACTGTGACATTGTCTATTCAGATACTTCTTTTCAGTGTTACTTTAGGGCAGTTTTAATCTTCCTTGTTTGTGTTAGTTGGCATTCGTTGGGCATCATAATCATGTACAAATACAAATAATTGTCATTACCTCTGATAACAGGCTTGTCTTCTTAATTATTATGCTGACAAACCAAAACCACAGAGCTGATACATTATGATGAAATTTATTTAAATGCAGTTGGTTGAACTTCTTTAAATTTGTATCCTTCGCAGATTCAAAAATCAGTGCGTTGTGCTTCTAAACAAAACAAAACAAAAAAAAAAAAAAACATCAAATGCAGCATGAAATAAAAAAAATAATATGAAAATCCTCGTCAATACAATAAATATGTCCCAGAAATACAATCACAGAAATGTCAGCAATAAACTGGTAAACATGTCTTTCAAGTGCCATCCGATTACAAAAACCCAAAGTTCAAATTCAGTTAAATATCAAGTTTCATTCATGTAAAATATAAGAACTTAAAAACATTCTGTTTAATTGATTTTGATCGATTTTACTTTATCATGAAACTAAAATACTATAATTCAGTGTGTTCTTTCATTATAATACCAGATATAATCTTGTATTTTGATTCAGTTTTCCAATAAACTAAATAATCAGTCTGGAAAAAACATGAAAAAATGTTTCATTTTAGATTATTTTTTAAATTTGATTTATTTATTCGATTTTAAGCCACGTTTGATCTGGCCAAACATTACTATGGAGTGTTGCCTGAAATCTATGTCCTGATTATTTCTATTGGATTTTCTTAAAACTTGTCCTATTGCTTTAAGTTACTCAGATCTGTATTCAACCTGTAACTAACTCATTAATCTGTACACAACTTATTAATTGTTTAGGCTGCACTATGAGTTTTAAGAGTAAAGGAGTGTAAAACAAACACGGCAGAGTCTCAATCGAGGAGGACCAGTGTTCCACTTGTACTTTTAAGTTTGGGGACCTCAAAAGTGTTTGAATTTGGTTTTAAAAACCTTATTGAAAAACAAATTGGAAATTTATTAACTAAACCACAGATGATGTTATACATCCCCTAAATTCTAACATTTTTTCACTCTTTTTTGACTTTGCTCCCAAATACTTTCATCCAGAGAAACTTCAGTAAAGCAAAAAGAACAGTGAATGCAATAAGGATAACTGCCAGTAGGAAAGCCATGACATCTATTGAGTAGTACTGGATGGTGGACATCTTGTAGGACTCTGTCCTCAGATGTGCAGCTCCTTTGTGCCTCATGACAAACTCAATCCAGAACATGGCTTGTTCCAGTGGTTTCATGGGCTGATCTCT